AGATAAAGGGTTAGTATCCAAAATCTATAAAGAACTTACCAAACTGCACACCCAAAAAAACAAATAATCCAGTGAAGAAAAAGGCAGAAGACATGAATAGACACTTTTCCAAAGAAGACATCCAGACACGTGAAAAGATGCTCAGCATCACTCATCATCAGGGAAATACAAATCAAAACCGCACTGAGATACCACCTCACGCTGGTCAGAGTGGCTAAAATTAACAACTCAGGAAACAACAGATGCTGGTGAGGATGTAGAGAAAGGGGAACCCTCTTACACTGTTGGTGGGAATGCAAATGGTGCAGCCACTCTGGAAAACAGTGTGGAGGTTTCTCAAAAAGTTAAAAACAGAACTACTCTATCACCCAGCAATAGCACTACTAAGAATTTACCCAAGGGATACAGGAGTGCTGATACATAGGGGCACATGCACCCCAATGTTTATAGCAGCACTGTCAACAATAACCAAATTATGAAAAGAGCCTTAATGTCTATCAACTGATGAATGGATAAAGAGATGTGGTTTATATATACAGTGGGATACTACTTGGCAATGAGAAAGAATAAAATCTGGCCATTTGCAGCAACATGGATGGAACTGGAGGGTATTACAGTAAGTGAAATAAGTCAGTCAGAGAAAGGCAGATATCATATGTTTTCACTCATATGTGGAACTTGAGAAACTTAATAGAAGACTCTGGGGGAAGGGAACGGGAAAAAATAGTTACAGAGAGGGAGGGAGGCAAACCATAAGAGACTCTTAAATACAGAGAACAAACTGAGGGCTCATTGGGGTGGGGGCAGCAGGGGAGAGGGGAAAATGGGTGATGGGCATTGAGGAGGGCACTTGTTGGGATGAGCACTGGGTGTTGTATGTAAACAATGAATCATGGAATCCTTCCCCAAAACCGAGAGCATACTGTATACACTGTATGTTGGCTAACTTGACAATAAATTATATTAGAAACAAACAAACAAAAAAATCCTGCAGCATATAAAGATCTAGAGGTATAGGGGCACCTGGGTGGCTCAGTCAGTTGAGCATCTGACTCTTGGTTTTGTCTCAGGTTATGATCCCAGGGTCATGGGATTGAGCCCTGCATCAGTCTCTAAGCTGAGCATGGAGCCTGCTTAAAATTATCTCTCTCCCTCTGCCCCTTTCCCCTGTTCGCTCTCTAAAATTACAAAAAAAAAAAAATCTAGAGGTATAGATTATACAGCTGAAAAACCAAACAGAGGGATTAGCTCCACAGAAGTTAAAAAAAAAAAAAAAGTGTGCTGAAAAACAAATTGAGTTACAGGTACCTGGCTGGCTCAGGCAGTAGAGCATGCAACTTTTGATATCAGGGTTGTAAGTTCAAGCCCCACATTGAGTGTAGAGACTATTTAAAAGAATTAAAATCATTAAAAAAAATAAAATGAAAGAAATAAGAATGGAAATGATTAAATATTTACAACTTAATAATAATTAAGCCCAAATATATCAAAATGTGTGGGATGCAACTAAGACAGTATTCAGAGGCAAATTTATATGCATTATAACAATATGCATACATTTGAAAATAAGAAAGATGAGAAAATAAATCATTCTTTTAAATCAAGAAGTTATAAAAAGCCACAAAATCCAAGAAAATACAAAGAAAAAATTAATGAGATTGAAAACAATTAAAATTGGTATAATTACAAAAAGAGCAATTTGATAGTTTTTTGATAGTATGTTATAAAATTAAAAATGACTTGGAACGCCTGGGTATCTCAGTCGGTTAAGTGGCAAACTCCTAATTTCAGCTCAGGTCATTATCTCAGGGTCATAAGATCAAGCCCCATATTGGGCTGTGTGCTGGGTGTGGAGCCTGCCTGAGATTCTCTCTGTCCTCCCTCTGGCCCTCGTCCACTTGTCTCTAAAAAAAAATGTGAATAGATGGACTAAAATATTTTTAAAAAGGTGGGGCGAGTGGCACCTAGTCAGTTGAGTCAGTTGAGTTGACGCTCAGTCAGTTGAGCATCCAACTCTTGATTTCAGCTCAAGTTATGATCCCAGGGTCATGGGATGGAGCTCCGTGTAGGGCTCCACACTGAGTAGGGAGCCTGCTTAAGATTCTCTCTTCTCTCCTCCTTCCTCCCTCCCTCCCCACACACACACTGCCCCCATTCTGCCCTCTCCCCTGCTCACATGCTGTCTCTAAAAAAAAAAAAAAAATGACTGTACTCTGTGCCCCTTGATTCTACTTGTCATCATCCATTTGCACAAGGAGAAATATACAAGAGTAATTACTGTGTTTTTTAATAATAATAAGGTCTTTTAATTATTATTATTATTATAATATTTCTCTACTCTGAAACCCACATTTCCTTCCAGAGAAATTTACAAGGAATGGCCATATATCAGCAAAACTACAGGTTTTGAAGCATTTTCACAGAGGAGAGTGTGAGGATAGGTTATCAATTATTAAGAGTTTCTGTCACTCAAATTTTCAGTTAAGATATTTTCAGCTACAGGTTAACAGAAAACTTCTATTAAGCAGGCTAAAATAATTTATTATTTTCCAGAAACACAGTTTCTCAGGGCTTTAACTCCACCTCTCTGATATCTCCCTTAGCTCTGCAATGCTTACACATGGATTCCTTCTCAAATAGACATCAAGATGGCTGGAGCAGTTTTGGGCATCACATCTAGACGTAACTCTGTTCACAGGGAGAAAAGGGGCCATGTCTTCTTTCTGAAAGTTTGGGAGCAAGGAAATCCTTACCAGAAACCCCAATTTTTCTTAGCAGACCTTCCCCCATCAATCATTGGCTAGAATCAGGTCACATGCCTTTCCTAAACCAACACTGGCAAAGTGATTGGGATTGGCATGATTGGTAAACTAATAGAGAAGAATTTATGCTGAGAGACTGCCACCATACCTTTACCTGAGGAGTATTTAATTCCAATTTCTATAACATAAATCCTCTTTAGTACATATTCCATAATTTATCAATGCAGAATATACTCTAATTTGAGTATGTTTGAGTATATTGAAGTTGCCAACTCAAATAACCAGGACATTAAAATCATCTAGTATTAAGAGTTTCTTTTCACAGAATCTGAGTTTTATGGATTTTATAAGAATAAAACTAAAATACAGAATCAAAAAAATACAGTGTCCCTAGCTTTAAATATCTTCACTACAGGCTCTGGGACTTCTCAACCATTGTCACTTCTCAAATGCCAAGGCAAAGAAGAGGATAGGGAAGGCAGGGTAGAATGATTATCCCTACAGTAAGGTCTTTTTTTTTTTTTTTTTTTTTTTTTTACTTTTATTTATTTATTTTTATTTTTATTTTATTTTTATGAAATTTATTGTCAAATTGATTTCCATACAACACCCAGTGCTCATCCCAACAGGTGCCCTCCTCAATGCCCATCACCCACTTTCCCCTCCCTCCAACCCCCCATCAACCCTCAGTTTATTCTCAGTTTTTAAGAGTCTCTTATGCCATGGCTCCCTCCCTCTCTAACTTTCTTTTTTTTCCTTCCCCTACCCCGTGGTCTTCTGTTAAGTTTCTCCGGATCCACATAAGAGTGAAAACATATGGTATCTGTCTTTCTCTGTATGACTTATTTCACTTAGCATAACACTCTCCTGTTCCATCCACGTTGCTACAAAAGGCCATATTTCATTCTTTGTCATTGCCAAGTAGTATCCCATTGTATATATAAACCACATCTTCTTTATCCATTCATCGGTTGGTGGACATTTAGGCTCTTCCCATAATTTGGCTATTGTTGAAAGTGCTGCTATAAACATTGGGGTACAAGTGCCCCTATGCATCAGCACTCCTGTATCCCTGGGGTAAATTCCTAGCAGTAGTATTGCTGGGTCATAAGGGTAGATCTGTTTTTAATTTTTGAGGAACCTCCACACTGTTTTCCAGAGCGGCTGCACCAGTTTGCATTCCCACTAACAATGCAAAAGTGTCCCCGTTTCTCCACATCCTCTGCAGCATCTATAGTCTCCTGATCTGTTCATTTTAGCCACTCTAACCAGTGTGAGGTGGTATCTCAGTGTGGTTTTGATTTGTATTTCCCTGATGAGGAGTGACATTGAGCATCATTTCATGTGTCTGTTGGCCATCTGGATGTTCTTTGGAAAAGTGTCTATTCATGTCTTCTGCCTTTTTCTTCACTGGATTATTTGTTTTTCGGGTGTGGAGTTTGGTGAGTTCTTTATAGATTTTGGATACTAGCCCTTTATCCTATATGTCATTTGCAAATATCTTTTCCCATTCCGTCGGTTGCCTTTTAGTTTCGTTAATTGTTTCCTTTGCAGTGCAGAAGCTTTTTATCTTGATGAGGTCCCAATAGTTCATTTTTGCTTTTAATTCCCTTGCCTTTGGAGATGTGTCGAGTAAGAAATTGCTGCGGCTGAGGTCAGAGAGGGTTTTTCCTGATTTCTCCTCTAGGGTTTTGATGGTTTCCTGTCTCACATTCAGGTCCTGTATGCCAAAATCATTTTTACTGGTCAAATTAGTAATTACTGTTTTTAATGGCAAAATATAATAAGCAATGTAAGGATACATCAGTAGGGATAGTATTAAATAATATAAGGCACACACAATAATGAAATGTTGGAAGAATCTAGAGCTATATCTGTTAGCATGGGTAGATCTCAGAAATATGTCGAGTGAGAAAACAGTTCCTACGTTGTGGTATTATAAAGTATTGTCTTGAAGGACATACACCAAGTCACAATGGGAAGAGACCAGAAATTGGTGGAACTCAAAGGGAAATTTAGCTTTGTCCAAAACTTTCTGAAAAAAGTTTTAAAAGAAAACATATTCATATCTAACTTGTTTAAATAAAAATTAAGTTTAAAAACTAAAACATAAATTAGCATTACATATGCTTTAGTTATTAGTCAGTCCATATTTAGAGGAAAGAACATAGACTGTGTAGATATAGCCAGACTTTCTTTGTATAGTACAAACTCTGCTCTTAATGTGTTCTCTGCAGGTACGACCCCAAAACAAACCAATGGAGCAGCGATGTGGCTCCCACAAGCACGTGCAGGACGAGTGTTGGTGTGGCGGTGCTCGGAGGCTTTCTCTATGCTGTGGGGGGCCAGGATGGCGTGTCCTGCCTCAACATTGTTGAGAGGTGATTTCTTTAAATCCTTTTCATTTTTTAAAAAGAATATAAAGGGCTCTTAAGACCTAAGAAACAGCTTAGGACACCAGGGGATCCACTATTCAGTGGATATCCCATGGGCTTTAGGGGAAAAGTTTTCAGTTGATCTTAAGTGTAGGAAGATGAAAGATATAACCCGATTTCCAAACTGTTATACTGCTTAAACCTAACAGTGAAGAGTTGGAATCATATTTTAAATTACCTTCTATATATGATACCAAGTGTACCGCTTCTACAATCTGTTCTCTTTCCCCAGTACTTGAAGTGTATTTAGTGACTTTGCCCAGACTGCCTCCAAAACAATGATTAAAATAATAATACTCTGTCTAGCGCATCTTACAAATACCCCAAAGTATATGGATTCTCATTAATTCTTGAAGTCTACTTAGGAAAATCTGGGTTGGCTGCCAAAGTTTGATTTATACTTTTACAAATCAGTTAATTTTAGTGAAATAGATTCTGTTCTTAATTTCTTGCTCCATCAGCTTTTTGTCACTCTACCCTAGAGATTGGATTTTGGAGGCTTGTGTGTTATGATTATTGTCAAGAACATACCCTATTTCATTCTCACTTCTTAAAAGGAAATGCTTCATGACTCTTCAGAATATTTCAAATAACATTTACTGGTTGGGTTACCATGTTCAAGTTGAAGAGTTTAACTCTGCCTTAAATAGAGATAAAGTTGCAGGTAACTCTTGAAAGCCATTTTAAAAATTATTTTTCTGTGAAGAAACTTATTTCTCCACTTTCGAAACTCTTTGCAAGAGGATTCTGGGAAGATAGCAACAAGTAATCTCTCTAAATTCCCACGTAAGAACAGAGCAATAGATAGCGAAGCTACAAACCTAGGAACAAATTATGGAACTTGGTTGGATGACAGGGTGAATGTACTTAACACTACTGAACTGTACACTTAAAAATGATTACAGTGGCAAATTTAATGTATATTTTGCCACAGCTTTTAAAAAGCCCTATGGGCAACATTGAAAATAGAACTAGGGGAGAGAGTATCCCCATAAACACCAAAACACCAGTGGGCAAAGGCAAAGTACCAAAAGCCACAAGACCTACATGATATCAGTGTCTGTGCAGGAGAAAATACAGAAAAGCAATCGAAGTATGACATATATAAGAACAGAAGAACCCCAAAATAGACAATATATATTTATTAGGAAGTGTGAGAGGAAAATTTAGGACCAACAGCTGAGACTAAGAAGGGTTTTTGCTCACTCCTAATATAGAGTAAGTGCAAGCGACCTATAATAAGATCTGAATGACTTAGAAAAGAGTTGTTCAACCTCAGCACTATTGCCATTTTGCACCAGATAATTCTTTGTTGTGGGGGGCTGTCCTGTGCACTGTCACATGTTTAATAGCATCCTTGGCCTCTTCCCACTAATTGCCAGTGGCATACACCTGGTTGTGACAACCAGAAGTCTCTAGACATTGCCAAATGTCCCTGGATGGGGAGAGGAGTGGTGCAAAGCCACTGCAGTTGAGAACCAGCTGCCCTAGAGCCATTTAGTCCCTAGGAACCCTCAGAACTGACCAGCAGGATGACCTTCCAGAACAGTTCCCACACTTCTGGCTGCAGGATCAAAATTGAACAGGACAGAGTTATTATCCAATGGGAAGAGAAGACCAAGATGAAAAGGAGGACCAGTGAATAAAACCAATAAATCTCAGGAAGCAAACCACTCTACTTTTTTTTTTTTTTTAAGTTTTTTTTCAACGTTTATTTATTACTTTTGGGACAGAGAGAGACAGAGCATGAACGGGCGAGGGGCAGAGAGAGAGGGAGACACAGAATCGGAAACAGGCTCCAGGCTCTGAGTCATCAGCCCAGAGCCCGACGCGGGGCTCGAACTCACGGACCGTGAGATCGTGACCTGGTTGAAGTCGGACGCTTAACCGACTGCGCCACCCAGGCGCCCCGACCACTCTACTTTTTTAACACTATAGGAAAAAACTAGAAAAAGCTCCGTGAAGTTAGAAAAATTATCATGAACGCTCCTCAAGACAACTCATTTCATGTAAAAATGAACAATAGCAAAGCATTGAGGTTAGATCCAATACAGAGTTAATATATGGAGAGAGAATAAGCAGCAGAATAACATCTCTATAGACAATAAAAGCACAGCAGAAAGACACACCCACAGAACAGATCAAAACTGTAAGCAACTATTTCACAATGTGCTTAATGACATTAGGAAAATGATGCAAGATATGAAAACACTACATAAGTCAGAGTTAGAAAAACCCAAAAATGAAACGGCAAAACTCAGAAAAATATTAGAAATTAAAGGAAAAATCACTTCAGAATGAAGACTAAACTAGAAATAAAACAAGTAATCCCAGAAGATAAATAGAAGGTGAAAGAGGAAATGTTTTAAAATAAAAAAATAAAGGAAATAAAAGGTTTTGGGAGAGAGCAATAAGTATTGAAGACAGGTAAAAGTCCAGTATGCAAATAATAGGAGACCATGAGGAAGCAAACCAAAGCAAGAGAATGGAACAGATGCTAAGAACTATAATTCAAATCTGTTCTAAGAAAAAAAGTGGAAATTGTTTATTGAAAGGTTGCAATGTATCTTCTGAATACTGACCCAGAACAATCAACATCAGTACCTATTCTAATAAAATTATTGGACCTTGAAGAAAAAGGAGATAAATTCTTTAATCATCAACAAAAAAGTAGATATTACTTATAAGGGAAAGAAATTTAGATTTACCATCAGACTTTTTGAAAGCAATATTTTATGCTAGAAGAAAATGGAATAACATATTTAGGCTAATCAAAGAAAATGTAAGCTAAGGATTTTATGCCCAGAGAAACTGAAGTATGAAGGCCACAAACTGTTAATATGTAAGAAGTTAGGGAACACTGTTCCCATGAGTCCTTACTGAGGAATCTACCACAGAACTTCAGACAAAATTGCTAGAGACCTTGATAGAGGGTGAGCATGAAACATACAGAGAATCCAGGAACTCTGAATAAAGGGTGCAAAGAGAGAGTAGCTTGCCCTGGCTGTATGCTCAGTTAGTACAGAGGTGGTACAAGTATTTTCAAAAGTGGGAGGAGAATGGGAAGAGATATGCAAAAAGAATTGTAATTCTTCTCAGGGACGTTGAAGTGATAGTATTGCTATTCTGAGACTGCAATGTATATGTGGAATAAAGAAAATGGGTATGTGTTATTCTGATTCTATCCTCTCCAGTTTCTTGAAAATTAGAGTTCTTGATGTGGAAGAATATGAATGTAAAATAGAAGTTAAATAAAAGACCTTGTAGCCTAAATTTCAATTTGAGTTAAATTCCTCATTTACAAATAATTATATTCTAGCTCTGTCAATTGAAGAGGCCTAGAAATAATGACCAACTAGTGGCAGTGAACGTCTCTATTCCTGGACTGGGTCTTGAAGTTCCATTTCCCTAAAAGAAACCAGGGCTTCTTGGAGAAATGTCTGTTTCCAGATTTAGGACAGGAAATGTACAAATAAGCCCAGACCAGCGTGTCATACCAGAATACAAGCCATCTATCAAAGACTAGGAGATGTCAAAGAGAGTCAAGAACAAACTTGAAGGTGTTCCCACTTGACCAAAGATGGGACAGTTTAAACTTTAAGAGACAGTAATTATGATTGATTAAAATCCAATAAATATATTTAAATCTATGAGTTCCTACTGACATTTTTTTAAACTCTACTTAGTTGCCTTTAGAAATCACAGGGAATTAATTTATCATCTTGAGTACTAGTAAACAAAGTGAAAGAAGCATGCCTATATCCAACCCTTCTTATATGAACTGTATCACATATGAATTGGGTACAAAATAGTAGATAAGAGGATTGTTTCTTTATAAAAATATCCAAATGAGGGAACATAAATGATTGAATATCACCATTTTGTAACACTCAGTAAATAAATAGACCTAGGTGTTAACAATTAACAGCTGCTAACATACCACCTTCCGTAGTTTTGCCAAAGGGACCAAATGTGGTCTGATCAAACTTCTGAATCCAGAAGTTCTGCCAATTTGCAGAACATACAGAGGAGAGACCAGTGCATTGAACTGCACTATGAGTGTCCAGTCAATCAAATCCATGTTGTGGGAGAAATTGCGGTTAGACCCAGAATTTCCTAAGGATGGGTATTGTGTGTGTGTGAGGGTGGGGAATTTAAGAGGGGGGGGGGGGGGGGGGAGAAGGGCTATGGAGGAAAAACCTGTAGGTAAAAAGAGACTTTAAAAAAACTACAGTGAACAAGAGTAAGTGTCTAGGGATGCACACTTGGGTGGTAAAAACTGTAAAGAAATACAAGGAAGTGATTACTGTAAAAGTCAGGATAATGGTTCTCTTGTGTGGAGGAAGGTATTGAGTTTGGAAAGGGATACATCCAAAGGGCTTCCAGTGTGGCAGGCAAACTTATTTTTCTTGACCTGGGTAGTGGGCTTTCCTTGTAATATCTCATTAAACTATACATTTGTTTCATGTGGCTTTCTAAATCGATGTTTTATTTTACAATAACAAGTTTTAAGAATTATGCAAAGACTTCAGCTTCCAAGTAGAATGCAGTAAGTAGTGACAGCCATCACTCCCACTGCAACAACTAGGGGAAAATGAGAGCACAATATACTTTTTTAGGGGCTCCTGTGTGGCTCAGTTGGTTAGGAGTCCAACTCTTGATTTCAGCTCAGGTTGTGATCTCACAGTTCGTGAGTTCAAGCCCCACATCAGGCTTCGTGTTGTCAGCGCAGAGCCTGCTTGGGATTCTCTCCCTCTCTGTTTGCCCCTCTCCCGCTCCCGCTCACACTCTCTCACTCACTTGCTCTCTCTCAAAATAAATAAATAAACTTAAATATATATATGTGTGTGTGTGTGTGTGTGTATACACACATATATATACATACATATATATATATATATATGTATATATACGTTTGGGTTTTTTTAAACATCAGAAACATGTGAAAGTAACAAGGACTAGATGAACTAAAATTCTACTGAAGAGGAAGCCCATTTATGTGAACTGAGATCATCAGCTATTTTCTTCCCTGGGGGCATTTGCCAAGTGTGAAGGGTTGAATATTGCACTTGTCTTAGGCCAAAGGATTCTCCTGGAAGAGAGGTATATCAGTAGAACTTTTAACAGTCATGCAGGTTGACATGACAGATTAGAATCTAGGACAATTCTAAACATACTGCTGTTTTTCCCCATGAGATGTTTTCTGAATGCTAGGATAGCTCAGTCTTGAGGGAACCAAGGTGAGTGAAATCTCATGCAACCTTCCAGTGCTTAGAAGATAAAGCCCTGCTGTGGGGAGGGGCTTACAACAAATACATGACAGCTTTCATCCTTGAGACATTTGAAAATAGAGGTGGACAGAGTCTAGCAAAAGCTCAATTCCTGATTGGACTGAGGCAATCAATATTTCACCCTACCTGCCTAATACAGGGAAGAGTGAATCCACTGTAGGCGGTGTGGGAATGAGGGGGTAATACCAATTTCACCTTCTAGGATTCCATTCCTTTATAATGTGCAGCATACGATAAAAAATTATGAAACATCTGAAGAAACAGAAAAATATGGCCAATAGCTGAGAGAAAAAAAAATAGAAGCAGACATTGAAGTGATCCACATTTAGAGTTAACAGAAAAAAACTTTAAGTATAATAAATACATTAAATAAAATAGAGGATAAGATTAAAACTGGGTAAAAGGTTGGAGAATTTAAATATAGAATTGGAATCTAAAAATAATATGTGTTCTACAACTGAAAAATACAATCTCTAAAATTAAGAACTCAATGAAATAAGATTAAGTAGACACAGTAGAAATAGACACAGCAGAAGACCGAGTTAATGAACTCAAAGACAGATTAATAGAAAATACCAAAACAAAGGAAGAACAGAGAAAACAGCATGGAAAGAACAGACTCTCATGTGTCCCAGACACTCATGGGACACAGTCTAACATACATGTAACTGCAGTCCCAGAAAAAGAGAGATAATAGCAGAAGCAATATTTGGAGACAGAATTTTTGGCTGAGAATTTTCCAAAAGTGATGAACCATAAACTGTATTCAAAGTGCATGAACTCCAGGAAACCTTCACTAACTAACCATAACCTTTCTCCAGGGCCTGCATTCTCCAGCATTTATATTTCTGCTTCTTTCATCTGTATTAGTTACCACATTCTCAGAATCTGTTTGGAGGTTTCTCCTTTGAGAGCATGCTCCATCTCCCTCTCTTGCTTCTTAAGAGCGAGGTCTATTTTTAGTACCCTTTATTTTATTTTATATTTCCTGCAATATTGATATAGTTTGCTATACAGTACTTAAATATACTAACAGAATTTCCTACCCATGTAATAAAATGTCAGCACTATTCTGATTTTTATCATATTTACTTCTGAACACTAGTAATTTATCAATCAGGACCCACTGAGGAAAACCAAAGTTATATCAGTTATTTGACTACAAGGAATGTTCAAAAATTGGCCAGCAGATATTGAAGGGCTGAAAGAAGTGAAAAGAAGACACCAAAGTAGCTGTAGGAACCCAGATCTGGGAACACAAAGGAGAGAGATCAGAGTTACGGGAGCCTAGAAGCCTAGAGGACAGATCCCACAGAGCCAGAACCACCGGCACCCAGGGAGCTGGTGCTCTGAAAGCTGTGACCCTTCTCCATGAAGGGTTCTCTTGCTGGCTATTTTTGGAAGATTGTATTTTCCAAAGATGGTTACAATACCTGCCATTTCACATGCTCTTCGTATAATTTGACTTTGACACTCTTCTTACTGAGAGGTGGGATTTATGTTTCCTCCCTTGATTCTGGGTCGCCTTGCAAGAACCCCAACAGTGGCAGTATTTGACTCCTGGGGCTAGGTCATAAAAGGTGATACATCTTTCACTTGGATCTCTTGGGGCACCTTTGAGGCCTTGAGCTGCTTGAGGTTGCCATGCTGAGAGGAAGCCCAGATGAGCTAGCGTGGAGAGACCCTGAGGCTACTTGGAGAGATGCCTGGCCAGCCCCTAGCTGCGTTAGCATTCTGCCCTTCCAGCCTCAGCCCCAGCCTGAGAGCAGCCAGACACCTGAGCCAGAACTTCCCTGTGAGGCCCTTCCCAAATTCCTGACTCATGGAAACGGGAGAGTTAATAAAATTATTTTTGAATCCCTAAGTTTGGGGGTGACTTACACAGCTGTGGTACTCTTACCTCAGGAGCTCAGAGGAGGTGCCTCACAGAGCCATGACTAAGACCTCCAAGAGGCACAAGGCTAGTTTTAGAAATGCCAGGAAAAGGCTAGAAGCTGCAATTCCCTGGTTCCATCAGAGCGAAAGGGCCTTTGCTGAGACAAGGCTGACAGGGTTGGCAAACACACAGAAAGGAGCCTGTCCCTTCTCCTGCCCTGGACTTCCAGCGTCTGGTCCTTCCTCTCAGCACAATCTAACAGAGAGCCAGCTTGGCTGAGGAGAAATGCTCTTTTCAGAGTTCTAGCCCTAGCATCACAAGGCAGAGTATAGGAAACAGCTGAATAACAGACACAGGCACAAACTCTAAGATTTCTCTTCCTAATAACCAAGTAAATTATGTTAGATTCTCACTGTGCATGTGACCATAGCATGTATCCAACATATCTTCAGCATGGTTTCACATCTTATGAAAAAGTCCTCACTTAATCAAAACAGGCGTGCAGTCTTTGGTTTCTCCCTCACTGCAGGTATGATCCAAAGGAAAACAAATGGACTCGAGTGGCTTCTATGAGCACCAGAAGACTAGGCGTGGCTGTGGCTGTGTTAGGAGGGTTCTTATATGCCGTAGGTGGCTCTGATGGGACATCTCCACTCAACACAGGTGAGTCCCTTCCAAGGTCAATGTGGTTCCCCCAAAGCAGCATATTCCTCAGGAGAGTCACCCTACAAAAAAGTATAAAAATCCAAGTGATCCTATAATTTTAAATTACAAATGTAAATTACAAAATTTAAATAATTTATATAATAATATATTTATTTAAATAATTGAAAATTATTTGCCCCCTAAAAGAGTACAACTGTCAGCTCTTCCTCGGCTCCTTCTGCAGCCATAGTGTTCTACTGTATTCCCCAAATATTTCTTTCTCCTTTCTCTTTGCAAGCTTTGGAATTTATAATGAATAAAAGAACTGTTTTCCCAATAGGATTATTTCCCTGCCCCACCCCCAACCATCTCTCCTTAAAAACCAAAACAAACAAACCTGTATTATAATCTAAGAATAAATAAAAACTTACAGCTGTAAGCTGGTTTATGTGTTAGTCCTCTCTCTTTAGAGATAATGGATATTTTTGCCCAAGGATATTGTTAGTGTGGCACCCGCATCAGATTCATTGTCACTTATCTTGTCTTCTGCTTATAGTGCAGTAAGAATACAGGCAAAGGGGTACGAGAGCACAGAAGCTGTCTGATCATGACAATAAATTAGTAGTATGGAATGGTGCCTACAGGTCTTACAGTCCGGTCTCCTCATTTAAAGATAAGGTGGGGGCGCCTGGGTGGCTCAGTCAGTTAGGTGTCCGGCTCTTGATCTCAGCTCGGGTCATGAGTTCAGGCCCCAAGTTGGGCTCCGTGCTAGGCATGAAAACTACTTAAAAAAAAAAAGGATAAGGTGAGGCCATGAGTCATATTGTCAGAACTAGAACTGAGGCACCTTTCCACCATACCATACCCAAACCAAGCCCGTCCCTGATGAGATTATATTGGTATTGTGGAAAGATACACAAGTCCGTCTCAGAAGCAAAAATCAGATTGTGTATCAAAAATATGTGTTATCACAAAATTTTAATGGCTATGAGGAAAACTAGAGGTGAGAAGAAATGGTTGAATGGTCACTTACTACTTTTCCCCCTACAGTGGAACGCTACAATCCTCAGGAAAACAGATGGCACACCATAGCCCCTATGGGGACCCGGAGGAAACACCTAGGCTGTGCAGTGTATCAGGACATGATCTATGCCGTAGGAGGTAGAGATGATACTACAGAGCTTAGCAGCGCTGAGAGATACAACCCCAGAACTAACCAGTGGTCTCCAGTGGTGGCTATGACATCCCGCCGTAGTGGAGTAAGTGCCTCGCTACTGAAAACTTGGGGAAAAAGCACCAAGAGACGGTTGTGTGGGAGAGCTCTGATCTGTAAAATACCGGGACAGTAAGGAGGTGCACTATTTAGGCAAAACAACCCCTGCTGCTTTTGTACTGGAAAAAAAAAGTAATTTCTCTTAATTGCTGTTATCTCCGGTGGTTAAATATCTCAGTCAATTATATCTTTAATGATAGAATTATTCTTTGTGATTTATTTTTCATCAGTTGTTTTCCTAAAAGACATTGCCCTGTCTTATCCACTACCTTATCTAACTTCACCCATATTCATCCCTCTCAATTAGAGCTAAATATTCCTAACTAATTTCTAACTAGTTTCTAGGTAATATTCTAAGTAGTTGGCACACCAATTCAAATGTTGAGGCAGAAACATACCTGGCCCCACCACCAGTCCCCACAAATAGGTTTGAGTCTATCCCATCTAGTCTAGACCTGGTCAGGCTGACCTATGTCAAGTTCTAGACCATGGATGACCTGTGACTACACGACACTTTCAGGGTGAAGTACAGAATTCATCCATTCTAGGACGTTTGCTTCAGAGGGAACTGTAATCCATAAACCACTGATTGTGTCAAGAGTCCATCGATGTCGGACAACAAGTGGGAAAAGCCAGCAGTAGTTTAAGAGTCCATGATGTGAGGATAGAAGGGAGTAAATTCTGGTTCGCACAAATCAGGGAATACCACTGGTACGCATCGGCAGGTCAAAGCATTCCCATGCCTGTGGCTCTTTATTACTGGTGGCTAACAGCTTCTTAGTCACACTCCTATTGTTCTCACTGCTACATTCTGATGATTTAGCAAAGATTTATTTATTTGTTTATTTGTTTAAATTTACATCCAAGTTAGTTAGCATATAATGCAACAATGATTTCAGGAGTAGATTCCTTAATGCCCCTTACCCTTTTAGCCCATCCCCCCTCTCACAACCCCTCCAGCAACCCTCTGTTTGTTCTCTATATTTAAGACTCTCTTATGTTTTGTCCCCCTCCCTGTTTTTATATTATTTTTGCTTCCCTTCCCTTATGTTCATCTGTTATGTGTCTTAAAGTCCTCATATGAGTGAAATCTTACGATTTTTGTCTTTCTCTGACTGACTAATTTCACTTAGCATAATACCCTGTAGTTCCATCCATGTAGTTGCAAATGGCAAGATTTCATTCTTTTTGATTGCCACGTAATATTCCATTGTATATACATACCACATTTTCTTTATCCATTCACCCATCGATGGACATTTGGGCTCTTTCCATACTTTGGTTATTGTTGACAGTGCTGCTATAAACATGGGGGTGCATGTGTCCCTTCAAAACAGCACACCTGTATCCCTTGGATAAATACCTAAGAGTGTAATTGCTGGGTTGTAGGATAGTTCTATTTTTAATTTCTTGAGGAACCTCCATACTGTTTTCCAGAGTGGCTGTACCAGTTTTTAGCAAATATTTATTAAGTGCTTACCATGTGCTAGGAAAGCAAAAATGAGTGTGATGACTCATCAAGGAGCTCCCAATTTAGTGAAGGAACTTGAGATGTTTACAGCTAACTATTAAAAAAATTATAGTAACAGCACGTGCATTATAGGAAAACATGGGAGAATATGCTTAATGTGTTTAGGGCAGTGAAGAGACTTACCAGAGAAAGTCGCATGTAAACTAGGCCATAAAAGAAGAAAAAGATTCTCTAAAAGAGGGAGAGAAAACACCAGCCAAGGAACAATGTGCAAAAGTATGGAGGTGTGCATATGTGGATCTTGAGAAACTTAACAGAAGACCATGAGGGAAG